CTGCAGTTCTTCCCCATAAGTAATGAATAACTAGAATCGTTGCAAAGCCTGATATTTTTTGTGCAACTCAAACTTTCGCCTGTGTACCCTAAAATTTAAAAAATCACCAACATTTTGAGCTTATCAAGTCAAACGATCTACCTTACTTTAGGTCGAAAACATTACTTTTGTCTTTTACAGTATTTTTCTTTCGTTTTTTGATACCAACCAAAGCATGTGCTTCTTTTAAAACTCATAATAATTCAAAACTGGTTTTATTCTGTTTTTTCTTTCGGTAGTCCTAATCTGTTGATAAGATATAAAACTTTTTTTGCTTTTCTGAGTAAATTAAGAAATCAGAAATCATTTATTGCAAGGATGGCAATAATCACAAGTTATTCTGCCTTATTTCCTTATGAGCGACACGCAGTGATGATTATTACACAGTTCAGTTTTTTCTCCACACCACTCGTCTGCAGCTTATTTTCACAGAAATCAGTTATTACAAGGATAGCAATATTGACAAGAAATTCTACAGTATTTCCTTATAGGCGACACGTAGTAATAATTGTCATAAAGTTTAGCTCATAGTTAGCACTGGTCGACCGTGTTATGACATTCTAAAATAAAAAATTTGTGAAAAAAACTGTAAATAACTTCCGGAGCTAAGTGCGACCTCAACTCAAAATTGCCTTAACTGCAAATTCTCATTTCTACAGATTTTTCCTTTAAAAATGGTTTAACGTTCACAAGCAAGATTTTAGGCAAATTTTCAAAGCAATAATAAATTTGAAACTTCCTACTCACTACTGGTCTATTTGAAAGTTTCAATCCATTAACAAAGACAAAAATGCTTTCTTTTATTAACAAAAGTAGAAATATTCGACAAGACTTACCAGTATAACTGCAATATCCGCATGTTTTTCTGCAGCTGTTTCTCATATACGTCACGTAGGCTGATTTGTCACAAAGCTTAATAACTTGTGCATAGTTCAAATTTTCATCTTTGCATCCTACAAATATTGAAAAGCTGCAACCTCTTGCAAAGCTAAGAACTTTTTGCGAGTTTGAGTTTTGGAGTGTCACGTAAAGATTCTGTCTTTTCTACTATTTTTTCATTTTTGCTCATCGTCTCAAATTCTTTTCAAAGCGTAATAAGGAGACTTATGACCGGTATAACAGTATTCACAGTTTCTCCTGCTCTGCCTTCTCATAAGCGATGCAAAGGTGGAATTGTTGCACAACGTAGCGTATTTTGCGCAGTTCGTTACCGTGTCATTACAGTCTGAAATTTTATTAAGCAAGCAAATCTTCTGACACTTTAAAAAATTCTTTTACATCCAGTTGAAAAATTCAAAGCCGAAAACTTTATCGTGCGCAGTTTTTCGTTTTTATTTTTGAATACCATTCTCAAAAAACATTTTATGCAGCTTATTCAGAATGTATAATAGATAAAGTCTGTCGTATGCTTCACTTTTCCTGAATGTTCTGATGAATTATCTAAATTCAAAATTTATTCTTTCCTTACTGAAAAGAATGCATTTTCCAAAAAAAAAATGACGCAGGTATTAAAAATTAATCAACACTATTAAAGCAGTATTCACATGTTTTGGCACACTCCTTTCTCATTCGCCAAGCACAGGTCGGAACATCACAATATTGGACACGCAGTACACAATCTAAGGCTGCGCCTTCAGAATAAAAAATTGAAGTAGACGATTTTGGAGGCAGGAAGAAATAAAGGTTCTACGTCACTCGTTGTTTGAGAATATCCTACTAAAAAGCTTTAATTATATGTGATCTTCTGTTCTTAATTTCTACTGCTACCTACCTACTGTAAAAACTCCACATTTCTTGTTGAAGACAAGTAATTGTTGAAAGCTTGCTCTGTGAAGCTCTTTGTTTCAATGCTTATATTTACTAAGAACTCGGAAGCTTATCCTATTAGTTAAAAAAAAAAGAAAATATTTTGAATTTTTTTCACTATTAATGCAATATCCACATGTAGTTAGACGCTTAGCTCTAACATCTGCAGCTTTTCCTGGATCATTACAAAATTGAGACTTATTCATACAACTGATATAATCGTGATAAAAGTAAAAATCTGGAAACAGTTTGCTAATTTTTTAGTTCTTGGAAGTGGGATTTTTGCATCAGCAAGTGAAAAATCTTATTGTGCACAGATTTCTTTCTCTGACTGATAACTCTAAGAATAACTTCATACAGTTTGCTTGAGTGATCTGAACGGCACACATTTTGGGTATAGTTTCTTGCTGTGCAAAAGTCTTAATCCAGTGATGGAACATTAAGCTTCTCTTTTTTTTTGCAAAAAATACCAAATAACTGAATGTTTATTTACCAGTGTTGTGAAAGTTTCAGTTAGCTCTGCGGTATTTCCTACAGAGAAACAAAGAGATAGGTTCGTGATGACAAAACCCAAAAGCTTTTTTTCTTGAAAAAAAAGATATAAAAAAGATGGAAACTGTTCATCCATTGCAAACTCAAAACCACAGGATCCTCTGCAATATTTTCTCATGAGAAAACCATAGATGAGATTATCATATAGGTCTTTACAGTCCTCATAGTTCTTGAGCAGACCACGATCTCTAAGGACTAAACAGCCTATCAAAATTTGTACGCTGAAAAAGTAAACTCATTGTTTTATTTGCACTTTATAACGGCCAACATTTTAAATGTTCACAAACAGAAATTTCTTCAGCTGAATCATACGTTTTGGTTTTTTTAAAACTATTAAAAATAATCTGAATTTTTGGGAAAGTTTTTTAGTTTTGAGGTAACAAAATAACATTTTAGTAAAAGTAATACGCGCGAAGTGTCGTTTACCAAAAGCAGAGTAAATGTGTGTCTATCTACCATACTTGTCAATTGAATCAGTGTGCTTGATAATGTTGTTGAAATTCAAATAACCTTTTTGACCTCAACTCAAATTTTGTTAAGTACTTTAAAAAAATATGTAAAACGGTGTGTCAGCAAAGTGCTAAGAGAAATCCTTCTGTACTTTTTGTTACTTTTGAAATTTTTGCTTCTGTAGAAGAAGTTTTGTGTCTTTTTTAAAATTGACAATACCGTGTCACGACAGCGAACTAGACTCAAAATTTGAACACTGCCATATGGGGAGAGATGACTGTACAGTCCAAAACTTCTACTTCTCACGTCATCTAGCAGCTGCAAAAATTTCAAAATTTTTCAGCGAACATCATTTTGCCCAACTTAGCCCTTTTTTTTAAACAGCCGATGAAAAGACTAGACATTAGTGTGTCACAGACTTCAATTTTTCTTAATCAAACTAGATTATTTTCAGCTAATTCCATTATCTTTAAGGTAAAACAACTATTTTCAGAAACATAATTTACGAACAGAAGCCAAAAAGAATCCACTCATAATGAAAAAAACTTAAAGACAAAAAAAAATCACTTTACTGATGTCGTATACATGTATGAAAAAAACGAAAATTTTTCATTCTCGACTTATCATGAAAAAAGATCCAGAGACATATGAAGTGGTGCCTATATAAAAGAGTAAAACAATATGCTGTTTTAGTCTTGAAAAACAAAACATCCCATTCTCAACTATGCTATGCAGCGTTCCGTTTAGCCAGTAAGAGAATGAAGTGCCGCCCCCTGTCGTGAAGACTTCGTTCACTCATAGAATTTGCGTGTTTTCGAAGTCAATGGAAAATCTTGCTTGAAACT